GGTCGTGAGTTGTGCGGTCATGATTTAAAAGTAAGATGAAAGCTGAAGGCAAAGATGTTGTAGATGGGACAAATTTTGTTGGGGACACCCAGGATGTTGCCTGTGTCCGTGTCAGACGGCGAAGTTTATTTTTGTCTTGGCTACACCGTGTCACATGTTGTGGAGGTTGAGTGAAGAAATGCGTCATCTTGCAGTTTTTGACAATATGTTTGGTAGAGAAACTTTACGCTCTCAGTTCTGCTCTCTAACTCCTTTGTTTGGAAGATGGCACTTGCTGACACTGCTGTCACTCGTATTGCAACAATCGGGTATCAGGCAAATCGTCAATGGCTACAGCCTTTGATCTTTGTTTATCTGCTACTTTGATTCACTCTCACGCATGGCCGGCTCAAGGTACCGGTAACTCGGGCAGTTGCCCGGGGTGCCATGTGCTTAGGGAGTCATCAACGATCTTCCAAAATTGGAGGAAAAAATCATTGCATGTGGGCGCCATGGAAGAAAAATAGAAAATGCAATAAAAAGATTAATAATTTGCTTATCTAAAGGCTAGGAAAAAATTTCATCGTTAACTAATTGTTCATACTGTCCAAATTCAAGTTAAGAAAAACAAATGTATTGTTCATTGTTTTGTAAACAAAGAAAATCAGCCTAGGTATTAAATTCATCACCTAATTCCAAGTTTTTTCCGTGCACAAATTTTTGTGGTTATATTTAAAAGGGGCGTCAGAGTTAAGCTTGCCATGGGCGCCAGCAACCATAGGGCCGGCCATGAGCCATGGGCGCCAGCAACCATAGGGCCGGCCATGAGCCATGGGCGCCAGCAACCATAGGGCCGGCCATGAGCCATGGGCGCCAGCAACCATAGGGCCGGCCATGAGCCATGGGCGCCAGCAACCATAGGGCCGGCCATGAGCCATGGGCGCCAGCAACCGTAGGGCCGGCCATGAGCCATGGGCGCCAGCAACCGTAGGGCCGGCCCTGCTCTCACGTCTCTAGTGCTTAACTTGGCTTCACTAGACTGTCACGTCTCATATTTCTCTACAGTCCAAGCAGAGCTGGCCTTTAGGGTGTGCGACCTGTGCCCTCGCACAGGGCGCCATGGCCAAAGGGGCGCCCAGTAAATATTTGAATTCCTTTATTTTATTACACTGAAGTGTTAACCTCGGGTCCGCGTCGACAAACGGTATTCTAACTTTTCGTACAATCACTTTTCATGCAATGAGTTTTCATACAATGAGTTTTCATACAATGAGTTTTCATACAATGAGTTTTCATACAATGAGTTTTCATACAATGAGTTTTCATACAATGAGTTTTCATACAATGAGTTTTCATACAATGAGTTTTCATACAATGAGTTTTCATACAATGAGTTTTCATACAATGAGTTTTCATACAATGAGTTTTCATACAATGAGTTTTCATACAATGAGTTTTCATACAATGAAAGTTGCATTCTCTATAGTCGGATACTAGCACTGGGGTTGGTACAACGAAAAGTGCGTGGAAATTAATTTATTAATACCGTAATTTCCATGTCCCTCTTACAATTATTTCAGCTGAAAGAATACGGGGAACAAAAAGCTTTCCGGGGCCCAAAATCGCCAGCGCAAAGCAGAAAAAGTAGGTCGTAATCGGAAAAAGAGCGGAGCCATACAGTGACAGGGAAGGGGGCGCCGAACGGGTGCTTCGCACAGGGCGAAAGTTTACCTAAGGCTTAACTTTGGCGCCCTTTATAAGTATAGTCCTTAAAGGAAAAAACTAGTTATTAAAGGGGTAATATTTTTCTGTACATTTTTGTTGCACCCCCTTTCTCCTGGTGCCTTAAGCGCGTGCTCATTTTGCTATTAATGGTTAATCTGGGCCTGGATGCAGTTGACGGCCAACAGTGTTTCTTAATCTAGTCCTGGATGCAGTTGACGGCCAACAGTGTTTCTTAATCTAGTCCTGGATGCAGTTGACGGCAGACATTGTTTCTTAATCTAGGCGTGGATGCAGTTGACGGCCAACAGTGTTTCTTAATCTAGGCCTGGGTGCAGTTGACGGCCAACAGTGTTTCTTAATCTAGGCCTGGATGCAGTTGACGGCCAACAGTGTTTCTTAATCTAGGCCTGGATGCAGTTGACGGCCAACAGTGTTTCTTAATCTAGGCCTGGGTGCAGTTGACGGCCAACAGTGTTTCTTAATCTAGGCCTGGGCGCAGTTTACGTCCAACAGTGTTTCTTGTGTCTGCCTGTGCTATTTATGCGTTCTACATCACATGCATTGCCGGAATTTTCAGTGTGTTAATGTCACATCGCCAGACGATGTTACTGTTTGAGTTTGATGCATGTTCTCTCTATACTTCAATCCCCCACGCTGACGGCCTCTGGGCTTTGAAATTCTTTCTCCAGAGTAAACCCCATCCATCTATACCATGACCAGTGGTCAGCGAGCTGCATGCGGCTCTTTCTCCGGAGTAAACCCCATCCATCTCTACCATGACCAGTGGTCGGCGAGCTGCATGCGGCTCTTTAACGACCTAAGTGCGGCTCGGCCAGCCGGCCTCATATCGGTTTTGACTCCGAAAAACATGGCTCTTGGCAGCTTCTTGAAAAGATATTTGGCTCTCAAAATTGTTTTACTCGTCCTTCTGCTGATTTTTTCGGCTCTTATGACTAATGAGTTTGCCGACCATTGATCTATACCCACTAACACCCTCCTCCGATTGGCTGAACTTGTTCTCACCCTCAATTCGTTCGAGGTTAGCGGCCAATTCTCCGACCAAATCAGCGGTGTTGCTATGGGGGCCAAAAGAAAGTACACTGGACGCCTCCCTGAATTCTACAAAAGATACATTGATGATGGTATTGGGGTCATCATAGATTATGGTATTTGGGTCACCATTGATGATGTATTGGGGTCACCATTGATGACGGTATTGGGGTCACCATTGATGGGGTCACCATTATGGAGAGGAGTGTACTTGACCAATTCATCAACTTTTTTTGTTGGCTCTTTTCACAACTCCATTAAATTCACATCTCTTGTCTCTGAGACCTCAGTTAACTTTGAGGACATTATGGTCACCCTTCACAAAGACACCCTATTCACCTCCAACTAAGTTATACCAACTGACAGCCACAGCTATTTACTCTACTCTTCTGACCAGCTGAAATCCTGTAAAGACTCTATCACCTTCTCTCAATTATTTCATCTTCGTCAAATTTGTCAGTCAGAGGATGACTTTAGGGACAAGGCGCTTGAGACAATGGACTACCTCCGATGTACTACCCGAAGACAGTAGGCCTACTTTCATCAGCCCCCCAAAGGGATAAAAACGAGTGACAATGGCGTGAGGACAAACCTTACTCTCACATTTCATCCTCACAATGTCATAGCCAAACATGTTTTCCCTAAAAAACCGAGCCATACTCTTCGCCAACCCTGACACCCACAACATTTCCTCTTCCCCGCCTCTCATTTTTTTTTTAGACGTGTTACAAATCTGAGAGACCACCTTGTGCGAAGTCGCCTCAACGCTGCCCCTTCCCCTTGTGGACCAAGCCATGTTGACGCAGCCGTTACAGCAGCTGCCCTTTCGTTATCCCGACTCAACACATTCCCTTCTCTCAAGGACGTTTTCAGATTAGGGATGGTTTTCTTTGTACTAGCCACATTGTCAATGATTAAAAAGACGCGGCCCTGAGAAAGCCGCCCCTAGGCGACCGTTTCGTCACCGCTACGTCCCGACCGGACAGCTCCCTGGGCGGTGGGGAGTGGTAACGCAACACCACCTCTCCGGAGAGGAAGTAAAGCCGTCCTGAACCATAGGAGAGCGGACTACGGACGCTTTAAACGCAGCGCCCTCGGTCTGCCGGACGTCCCTCAGGCCAGTGAGGGAAGTTCCCGGCGCGCTTCCGCACGGTCTGGGGCTTCGGGGGAGGCCTTGGCCCGTTTGGGGGAGTGCCGGGGGGGGGTATTATGAGTGCGAACTCGACGACCCACCGACACCATCTCCAAAGTAACGTACTAGCCACAATGTTTGCACCCGCTGCCAGATGTCGTATATAGGTGAGACAGGACACCGTCTCTCTGACAGATGAACTGAACACCTCCCTAATAGTATGCAAGATGAGCAGAGTACCGTCCGTTAACACCTAAATAGTAGCGACCACAAAGTGTCTCTCCCCTTTATTGCCGCCTACAGGACTCTGGGTTTGAATTCAAAGTTTGTATTCAATTAGATGGGTTGCTGTCCAAGGTTAATGATCTTTTGCTGGAGATTGAATAACAATTTTGGTAATGACACATTTTGACCACAGAGCCAGCCAATCCTACGACTACTACATGTGTTGTATCGCCACAGCGATGAGGAGTGTGCTCCCCTAATATTGATCTGGGAACAAGATCTGTTCACTGTTACTTTTATGTTGTTTAAAATTTTACGTAGATTTAATAATTTTAAAAAAAAATTAAATTAACAAAATTAATACATGATGCTAGGCGTAACCTAAATTAATGAATAAATTGATGTCACGATTGACCTACTGGTGCCTGGAAAATGCCATTGTTTGTGTCAGCTTGCTATAACTACCATGTGAATTTATTTACAAGATCAAACAAATCTTCCAATGAACATATTCAGACCCCTGGTGTAAAAGAATTTTTCTGTTCTAACATTTCACTATAAACTAGTATTTATATATGATACTGACATACCAGAAGACATTTCACTATAAACTAGTATTTATATATGATACTGACATACCAGAAGACATTTCACTATAAACTAGTATTTATATATGATACTGACATACCAGAAGACATTTCACTATAAACTAGAATTTATATATGATACTGACATACCAGAAGACATTTCACTATAAACTAGAATTTATATATGATACTGACATACCAGAAGACATTTCACTATAAACTAGTATTTATATATGATACTGACATACCAGAAGACATTTAGAAAAAAATGATTTTTAAAAATTAAAAAAAGGAAGGCAAATTGAACGTTTTATTTCAATATCTAACTTGAATTTATTTCAATAACAATGGCTAACAAGTTGATAAAGTTTTAGAAAAATTCTAAACTTTACAACATCAGGATCAAGATCATGTCTGTGTTATTGTTAACAACATAGACCGGTGCATCAAATTCTTCCTCAAAGATTTCATTGGATCAGGTCTAGTCTAAGCGCCCGAGTCAAATGCTCTTCAAACATTTAAAATTGAGGTCAAGCAAAGTGGAATGCGGAACAAGCCTGGCTGAAAATCCCTTTTCTTTTTATTTTATTAACCTCATTTTTTTTATTTTAATTCTTAAAGGAACATAATTTAAAATACAAAGGAGGGAATTCAGTCTGTACCCTGAAGGTAGAAATTTACAAAGTAATGCAGAAAATTTTTTTTTGTAGAATGTTCCCCATTGGCTCCTGGTTCAAACTTTCAGTTAATTAAAAACAAAAATCCTACTACTGTTGTTCAAATTCAACTCATTCAAATCAAAACAAAGGAGAAACAAATTAGAGAAGCAAACACAATGACTTATTAATAAACACTTTGATGAAGTGATGTAACCCAAAAGAATTAATCAAAGCTAACAAATTAGGAATAAAGAAGATCTACAGGTCAACATGTGCAGCATTATCTGCTTTAAGAGTACAAAACATTTTAATCACTCAAAATACAAATATATTTAGAATTTTTAAAAAAATAATTGAAACTTGTCCAAAAAAAAAGCAACCGAGTATAATTATTTGAGATTGAATATATCCGCGCTAAAGCTTGTGTGTGATATAGGGATCTCAAACTTTTAAAGTAATTACCCTATGGTGGCTATTCAAAGTAACCTGGTCATAATATTAAGATTACATTCATTTAAATTGGAATGCAAATTTATAAACATAGATACTTCCAAAATAACCATTAATTGTTTGCTCAAAGTTTAGTGAACAACACCGTTCCTGCAATCTACAAACCGACCCAGTTGGGATCTCACCAATTTACTTTTTTTTAAAACTTATTTTAAAAAAGTAGTTAAGCCTCTAGTCTTCATTTCTGTGGATCAGAGTTTCTAATTATATTTTAACCAAAAGAATCATTAATTCCACACATAAGTGTGATCAACTATTAAAAAATAATTATACAAAATGGACTAAAGAAAATGGCTAGCTTATCTCCTAATCAACCATCATCTGTTGATGGTGACCAGGATGCATCATCACTTGAGTCATCATCGCCATATTTGCTCAGTAGGTAGGCTGCAGTTGGGGGCACTCGTACATAAGGAATGAGATTGTCCTCCAGCACCCGCTGTCTGCTCTGCAACCTGGCTGACCTACGAGTGAGTGGGCCCACTGGGGGACGAGTGAGTGGGCCCACTGTGGGAGGGTTAACAAAATCATCAGCATGACCCGGTCCTGTTTCTGAGTCCTGTGTTACCTGCTGCTGGGTCGGCTCCTCCTTGCTTTCTTCACTGCTGCTGTGAGGGTCAGGCTCACTTGTCAGGCAAGGTTCCACTGACCTGTGTGGTGCCACAGAGCTGTTGTTGGTGCTCTCGGGGAGAGATGAGTTCTCCCTAGAACAGGATGCTCCCACCGAGGCATCCTCTTTTGACTTCTTGTGCCCCATGTGATTCTTTTGATGTGTGGTGGTGGTGGATTCATGTTTATTAAGAGAATCAGTGGCTGATGTGGTGGCCCTCACTGAACAAACTCCTGCCCTTCCTGCATTGATTCTAAGATAAATGGTAGCCAGCTTTGCTTGCTTTGTCTTCTTGTTCTGTGTACTGGTGTCATTGTCATGGGGTCTTTTTTCTGGACTTACCACATTATTGCAGGTAGCCTCTTTTGGGGGTCCTGAATTGCATGGAAGTGTATCAACATGTTTGGAAGTCAAGTTAAGGGAAGATTCAGGGTTAGCATTATCCACAGAATTAGACGCCTTGCTTGTTGCCTCTAAATCAGGTGAGGCTTCATTCAAGAAGTTATCAAAAGCTTGATGGACAAGGGGAGATGAAGAATTGATCTCATATGACTCCTCATCCTCTGTGGGCCTTGGCAGCTGTTCCTCAACCTGATCAAAATAAGAAATAATGTTTTCATCCACAGCTCTCTCATCAGTTTCACTGGTCAAGCTAGAATCAAGTTCAATGGCACTGTTAGAATCACCGATGTTGAATGTTGAGCTTAGAGAGCTTAAAGAATCAGAATTCCAAAGACGTGAAGAGCTGTTGGCAGGCCTTCGGCTGTTACCAGAAAAGGAATCTGTATCAGAAACTAATGAATCTGTGTCACTGGAGCTGTAATCACTTTCGAGAAAACGTCGCCTGTTTCGATGACTTGAGTCTGCTGAACTTTTGTCATCAGAGACTTTTGATTTAGTCTCATCTAAGATTTTCTGCAGTTTGCTGTTTTCCTCTTGAAGATCTGCAAAGAGAATAAAAATTAGGAATGATTAACTCGTAATTATGTAAAAAATGTTATAAATGACAAATTGTCCAAAATTCATAAGGTCAAGAGGCCTGAGCATAGAAAATCTGGATTGCCTCATCAGATACATCGTAGCACAACATGATTTAAAGTGAATGGGGTTGCCTTTCAAAACACAACTAAGATCATAATAATAATAGCATGTTCATGTGCTTTTCATGACAGTAACCTTTCACTGTCATGTCGTGGCACTGTCATACTGTCATGTCGTGGCACTGTCATACTGTCATGTGGTGGTACTGTCATAGTGTCATGTGTATTCTTCTTTATTTCTGTTTACAGCATGTGTTTACATTGATAACAATCAAAGGATTAGAGACTCTTTTCTTGTTTAGAATAATGCAAGTAATCCAACAGTCCTGTGTTTTGTTCTATGTTAACTTTTAAAACCTGCTTGCTTCTGAAAATTTGTATCCAGTCTGAATCTGGTTCAGGATAGATTTATTCAGATTATCAGAGAGTTTTTTTTATAAATCGAAATTGTAAGAAACATCTGTTGTAATACTGCTTTGATTTTTAATTACTCTTGCTGGAACTTTGAGGGCTTCTTAGAATGAAATAGTAGAACAAGGTATGTTGAAGCTTGAATCAATAGACAGGACAACATGATCTTAACATCTTGGCTTAGAGCCTTCTGCAGCGAACAGGGCAAATGAAAATACAATTTATTATCTTTTATGGGCTTCTTAGGGATTTTGTATTATTACTATTGTAAATTATGTGATTTCGCTCAGTGGTACTACTCAGTGTTTCAAAAAATTTGAGATGTCACTTCATGGGTAAGGTGCATTGTCATGACTCAGGGCTATACATAGATCATACAAAAATTTAATTGAGTTCAAAATTCATTACCTTTAACTTTTAATAGTAATGCATCAATACAAACATGGCTGTCCAATTGAGTCTTTGGGATCAACATTCCACAACCTTTATTGCACAAAAATTCCCTGTAGGAACAAAGATTTGTTTCATGTTCCTCTAAGTCTCTCTTGAGTAACTGCTGACTGCAATCTTTAAATCGACACTGGACCATGGAATATTTACATACTTGCAGATGATCCAAATAGTCTGCAAAAGTGTGTAAAAAAAAAGTATGAATACCATTCAATGAACTTATAATTTTTTGGAAAGAATAGACCTTAGTTTTATATTATGGTTCATGTATCTTTTGGAAAGAATAAACATTATTTTGCTTAAGTTCATAGAGAAAATATTAATCTCTTATTGTACAAAGTTACACTATTTACAAAAATGGTTTCTCAATCCGCCAAAATAATATAGCCTAATTTCATATCTGGGTAGTGTTTTTTTTGTACGCACAGAAGAAAAACAACTCTAAATGACATCACAGTTATAGCAACATTTTTGGCTTAGTGATAAAAAAAACATTCTAACTCCATGTTTTAAAATTACAAGATTCTATGTCTAATCTTCATTTTGCTATTGTAAGTTTTAAAATTTACAGTCATTATTTGATTTAAAAATAATTTCATTCATTATTATAGCCACATATGACTATGTAATCATAATTAACAAATAACAATATTCAAGACTTACGTTCCGTCTGAATAAAGTCAAGACAGCCATTGTGTAAATTAGAGCATTTCATTTTAAGTTTATTGATGAGATTCTGGACGAGTGGAAGTACCTCCTTTAAATTTGATTTCATACACTTTTTACGACAGAGAGGACATTTCTTTTGTCCCATTAATGCTTTATGGATGCATTCAGCACAGAAAACGTGACGACATGGTGTCTCCAGAGGCTTGTCCAAAACATTCATACAAATCCCACAAATGAACTCATCATCAGGCACCGGCCAAAATTTGCTAACATCAAAGCGAGACATCTCAGTATGTTATATAAGTTTTACTGGGGGGAAAAAAGTGTTGAGAATAAAAAGCACATATTCTTCTAAAATAAAGCTAAAAAATTTACCACATTTTCTGCTTGGAGAAATTTCTTCATAATGCTACTGTAAAAATAATTATGTAAAAATATAGAAAATAAAATAATATGGTGATGAGATTTTAAAGATGGTATTTTATTCTTAAGAAATAAATATATTCAGCTAAGTTTGAGAAAAAGTAAATAAAAATTATTTAAGAATTTATTTTTTAAGAAATCACTTTAAAAATAAATTCTATTTAACAATTTAATCATCTGCATCCTTCTTTCCTTTACATCCAGAATCTTGCGGCTTAAATGGATAGCCTGATAAAAAAATATTTGTTCCCCCCAAATTATTATAATTACGTTATTATTTGTAAGATGAAGTACTGAATTGTCTAAATGACAACATAGACAGTATGACATAGTGATAGAAAAATATAATAATTTTGTGAATCGATAAATAATTAATCAGTGCACAAAAACCACATACAATAAACTATACTTAGGTATTCATTAATGTAATAACCTACACAAAAATTTCAATTTAGCCCACTTAAGCTGGTAAGACTAACAATTCAATGGTGACAATAATAGAAATATACTGATAATAATAATAAAGTTTATGTATGTACAAGTTATCATTAAATTTAAATGTCAGTGAACAACATAATCATATCTATCCTGAGTCTGTACTGACTAGTACTGTACACTTCTTCTCCTTAGGTCAGTGTTAAGTGTAACTCAAAACTCAGAAATATCAGTACACTCTGAGAACACTTAGTTCACTTAGTTCTCTTACTCTTAGAAACAAAATATCAGCATATTGAAAATTATTCATAACTGATTTATGCATGATGAAAGTATTTTGTGAATGAGAGCAACTACCTCAATCTTCTTCTTTAGCATAATTGACAATCTGTTGTCAAGGCGTGAGGCGTGCATAGGTTCATTTTGTGTAATTTAAGGATGTCCTTAACACAGTTGATCCGCCCCCTCTAATCCTGAGACAAAAATGCCTTCTATTGTAGGCTAGTGCAGGCTGATTGACAGATATTCTAAGCAAATGGCCAAACCAATCAATTTTCTGCTGGGCTATATACTGACTGATTGGTATGAAACCAACCATTTGTCTTATTTCTTGGTTCAAAATGTGGTCCCGTCTCATTTCACCAGATGCTCGACTTATGCATCTCATTTCAAAGGTGAGAGGTTTTTCTCTTAAGTTTTATTCAGGGCCCAGGTCTTCCTCTGGTAAGTAAGGGTTGGAATAACGACACCATTTATTAGTATGGCTTTGGTTTCCATCTTTATTCTTGGGTTAGTGATAGTGACGCCCCAGAGTAGTAGAAGATTATTTCGCCCCATTCTTCCACTAAACAAACTTTGCAGTAGGCTGAAAATGTCACCCCATGGACTGTCGTTAGTCCGTGAGTGTAATGTTGCCGGACCATAGAACATGAATATTTATGGTTGATTAAAAGAAATATGTAATTAATAAATCGGGCACCATTCCCTGATGCAATTTCAAAATGTTTTTTAAAGTTTGGGAACACCAAGAATCAAGAGTATAGTGCCAGTTTTAGCATTGAATAATAATCTTTTTAACAGCATGATTATCAAAGAAATTTTCATCATTGGGTAGCCTATTATTGTTCTTATGTTAACATACATAATGTGCCTTCAATAATTAAATTGCAGTTTTGCAATGTATCACTCAAAAAATAGATTTGCACAATCAGGGGAAAAGTCCCATAAATAAAAGTGTGGTAACTCACCCAGAGGCGTCATTAGAGTTGGCGACACCCAGTGCAATAAACTCAAGGTGTCACTCCCCTCTTCGGACTTATCTCCCCCCCCCCCCCCCCCATTTCACAGAGTACTGAGTAATATTTAACCAGGTCATACAGAACCTTTTAAAGTATTATTTATAGAATTGTTTATATTATGTCACCAAAGATGTCCTCCTCCCAACCCTACTCCAAAAACAAATTAAAAATTCAGTACCGGTACATATTAATCATACCAAAAAATTTATTACAGGAATGCCGTTTGTATGTGATCTTGTAGGACTCTAGCCCTGAGCACAATCAAAGATGAAATACAAGTACTTCTTTTGTGTAACCTTGCCCTTGTATGGAGTTGTTAAATGATTTTAAAAAAAATATTTTTATATAGATATAACTTAACAAGAGTATGAGAATAATATTAATTTTACATGTACAGATCTGACCCAGTCAATGGTGTAGGAAGAGGGAGGTGCAAAGGTGCACCCCCCTCCCGCACTTTTTCCTTTATATTAAGGGGTGGTATTTTCGGCTGTCAGGAGATTTTGTTCATGGAAAAGGGCGAAAAAAAAGTTTGACCCACCCAGGGCCGCACTAATCCTGGCTACCCTCCACTGGTCTAGCCTAAAACTGGCAAAGTTAAGGACTTGAATTTTGGTGCAGTGTACGCAAGACAAAACCCATGGATTTTCTAGGTACACCACTGCAGTGTATGACACCGCATGTAGTGCTAGCCATGGCCATATTTTAAAAAAAAACAATTTTAATTTAAAAAATTACATTTTAAATTCCAATTCGAACAAACAAAATTATACTTACTTATATGACTTATGGATTAGTATTACTAAAGTTGGCTACCCTAAAGTTGACTAATAAACTTGATATTGATATATTTATATTTTTACAAATTAATTTTTGTTTAAAAATTGGCAAACTTTGTGACTGTATTGTTCAGCATCCATTTCTCTTTAAAATGATATTATCACACAACCTATTTAACAAAGACATGACCCCCAAACCATATTTTTCCCCCAACGCATTATTATGCAATGAAAGCAATTCAATGTGTTACATTTTGAAGTGGAAAAAAAGTTGAGCAAGGGCAAGGGGCAGTAGCTCTGCAAGGATTTTACACCAGCAGAAAACTGATTTACCCAAGTAACTAGTATTGGTATTAGGCTAATACTAATAGAGTAATAAGACTTAAACTTAATGTTTTCATTTTAATTCTCACTGATAGTTCACTATACTATAATATAGCACGGCACTATAATTAATTTAATGTGAGTAATGTAAGTCAAGTGACAAGTGTGATGAATTTCTAAAAATCAAATTCTTAATAATCTTCTTTTAATTCAAATTAATTGGCAATAATTGGTGTTAATTATAGTCCGCTTAAACAAAGAAGGAAACACAAAATTTAAAAGTAGGAAACTCAAAGATTACCTACTTCAATTTGTATGTTTGTCGATTACTAAGTCAAGTAAGTAATATATTCATATAAGAGTAACCGCAGCTTCCAGGAATATTATTATCACTACATAAGTTAACTAAAGTAAACATTAAAAACTAAAACTTCCGGTTTAAGAATTTATTGATTGGTTTAATTTTTAAGGTAGCTACTAGCAGATAGACCCAGCGAAGCTAGAAAAGAGATTATAGATTCGTACTATAGTAGGCTATATTACAGTGGTGTAGCTAGGGTTGGTGTCACAAGGTGCGGTAAACTCATGGTGCCACCCCCCCTCTCCCCAACTTCCACGATGGATTTCTTCCTCTTAAAATAAGTCCACAGTATAACAATGACTCAAGAACAAAAACAAATTTATTGAAGGTCAAGAGGTTAATGTATGAACTGGAATTACGTGTTTTTTTTTTTACTTAAGTTTTAGTTTTTTTCTTTATTAAATTTACTTTATTTCAAATGTTCCCTATCCTGGTCTTTAACGTGGCTAACCTGTCAGTCACTTGAAGCAAATGAATATCCTTCACCGTATCACTTTAAATGGATAGTAGAGCCAGATCAGAAAGCATAGATTGTTCCATCGTGTTCGTAAATTAAATAGTTCCTGAAAAGCCTTAGTTTTCAAATGTTCCGCTCAGACGAAGCCACAGACAAACAGATCGTAAGAAACAAATGAGGGTTTAGCGAGAGTATTGTTATTGGAAGAGATTCTATCTAGAAGTCCCATTCATATAATATGAATTTAAAAACAAAAAATCCTGACCAGTCCATGACTTTGTGAAATTCAATATCAGCTGCTTGTGGGTGTAGTCTAAGCCTTTGTATTTCTTTTAAAAGTTCATCTTCTGATAACTCATCATAGAGAGGGGTTAATTTTGGAACGTACACCAGTAACTCTTCTTCATTTGCTACTGGCAGGCTCTTGGGTTGAACAGCCCCAAACATATTTGCTACTTCCTTGATCGCTGATCAGGTGAAAGCTCTCAAACCACACCAGCAAAGCATCTCCCTTCTGTCTTCTTCTCGCATAGAGATTCCAGTATCTATTAATTGTTCTGCTATTCTCTTCTTAAACCTTTATCCTACCAACCAAAATTCCATATTGGTCTGATTTTAAAAGTGCCTTTTCAATATCATGTTCCAACAAGTGACAGCGCTTCTCGTGCAAAAACAATCTTAAGGCCTCTAGGTGGTTCAAAACTTTGTCAAAGGTAAGGCCTTTAGTCTGCAGATACTGCTGTGTAAGATTAATTTCATCAAGTAGATCAGCCCAAAGGTAAAGGTAGCAGATAAACGTGAAATCGCAGACAGCATGTAAAAAGACCTTATGCTGTGCATCTTGTATCCAAATTTTCAAAAGGACCATAGAGAGCTTCAATCGTCGCCAAACATTCATCAAACTTATTGCTCTCTGTTTTAACAGCAATATTATGAGCACTCCAACGTGTAGCTGAAAGGCTTTACACCAATATTTCAGTGTGTTCAATTAGGATTGGTTACATGTGTCGAAAATGTACGCATGATCGATTAACCTTTTACGACATGCGAATAGACCAAGCATTGCCTGCTCTGTAAATATGCACTTTTTTTATTTGGTGTTACCCCTGAAATGGTGTCACCCAGTGTGGTCCACCCCCCCCCCCGCACCTTCCTAGCTACGCTTCTGGTATATTATATATACATAAAGAAGTTAACACAAACTATTGTAACAATTATAATAAAATGTGTCTGTTTAAATAACAGTTTGAGAATTAAGTGGACATAAGACACGCCCTAAAATTTTCCTAGGGTGGTTAGTTTTAAAAGAGGGACCGGCCATATAAAGACATTAAAGTAGGCCTTCCGTGCGCCACACTATTTTTGGAGACAAACAAAAAAATCCTCTATTCCCCCCCCCCCGGGTCATAATAGGTCACAAATCTCAGCCTCCCTCCCCCAAGTGACACTTTGGAACTAACAAATTTGTTCAAAGTATTAAAGTAGGCCTTCCGTGCGCCCCACTATTTTTGGAGACCAACAAAAAAATCCCCTATTCCCCCCCCCCCCGGGTCATAATAGGTCACAAATCTCAGCCTCCCTCCCCCAAGTGACACTTTGGAACTAACAAATTTGTTCAAAGATTAACCACTCACTAAAATTTAATCTAAAACACACTTACTATTAAATGTATGAAAGTGAAATCTTCTGCCAGAAGACATCACAACAGAAATTTTAACATCACTTTCAGGTTTTATTTGTATGGGGAAAAAGTGTGCTGTTCCCCCCGCCCCCACCCCAAGTGTCACAAAATAATAAATGTCATCGTATATGCAGAATGTGAAATTGGGTGTGTGGGTGCGCAGATGGCTGATGAAACTAATTCTTATACGGAATGTGCTTGTTATAGTAAGTGCGGGGAATTGATGTGACGTCTTCAGGTGCAGAGTTGACCCATGCTTTTCTGGCATGTCTTTTGTGCTCAGCAGGCGCTGATCTGTTGGCTCCGTGTTGTAGGGCACAGTATGGAGCCTTTTTATTACAGAACAGAGGCCGAACGAATTTCGGTTTTGGCACCGAACGTGATCAAATGGCAACACTCTTTTTCGGTTTTACTTAACAATGCTGAAACCAAAATAAAACTTTCTGTTGACCTGTTTAAATTGCTGCCCGATTACTATCTGAAAATTAATCTTATTTTTAAATTATGCTGTCTTTGTGACTTTGACGACATAGATTCTATAGCTCATCCAGCTTTACATTTTTCGGAATTAGTTTTTTACAACTATGAGATTAGCAAAAACCGAGTTGCGATGAGTAATTTGTCTAAGGGTAATCAACTACAGTTACAGTTAAAAAAAAATAATAACTGAAAGTTTGGAAACTAAGCGAATGAACCAACATCTGGTATGACGTGTCCCATCATTGTGAGCAGAAAGGCCAATAATGAATAAGGCGTGACTTAATATTCAATCATTTGGGACAAAGGCCCCGCAAAATTAAATTGGCAAATAAGCCCGGCACCCTCCTCGCCCCTACCCTGGAAGCAGCTACAGTTCTACTAGCTAATTTTATATTTATTTTGCCTTTTTTTTTCCTGAGGAAGGTTGCCACGTTATTCTTTTTGATTTATATATTTTTTTCAAGCTTTTATAAAGTGTACTTTTCTTGTTTCTCGTGTTCAGTGACGTCGCTTCCTTTTTCGGTAAATTATTTCTGAAAAAATTGTGGATATAGCCTATAACAGTGGCCGGCAAATCGTGGCTCTTTAGTGACCTGAGTGCGGCTCTGCTAGTCGGCCACAAATTGGTTTTGACTCCAAAATACGTGGCTCTTGACAGGTTCTTGAAAAGAAATTTGGCTCTCAAAATATTTTTAATCGTCCTGCTGCTGATTTTTGGGGACTCTTTTGACTAATGAGTCTTCCGACTACTGGCCTATAGAATTAAACCAAAATTTTGCCCAGCAATAGGCCTATCGTGTTTAAATAGTAAATCATCAAACATAATCCTTTGGGTGGCGTCTTCGTGTAGCGGGTTCCGAAGTGTCGAAACAGGCAGGATACCGATAACAAAACCCATCCTACACTACCGGCATACGATAGACAGGAGTGTGCTGGAGCCGGTTCGGTGAGGTTATTTAAAATGTAAAAATATATTTTTTTTAAAACAGTATAAAAAAATACAAATCCATTGAAGCTTTGTCTATAACCAACAAGTACTACGCTCGTTCTTGCTTGATTGGCAGCTTTTCAGAAAAGTATTATGAGAGGAGACAACTTGAAATGACCAGTTACCGTACTTTTTAAATATTTTTTTATTCGAGAAATGTGGACACTGTGTATTGTGAGCCAGGCTGGCTTTTTGGTAATCTCACAAAACTTGGAATTGAACTTCACGGGCAAAAAGGAATCCATAAATGGAAATCGCTAAGAAGTAAAATTCGTAGGCATGAGGACTCAGGTGGGCATGTCGAAGCTTCTGCATTCAATAAGTATCTGATCAGTTGGAGCTTCATAAAACCATTAATAAAGAAAACCAGAAATAAGTGCTACAAGAAATGAACTTTCGGTGGCAACCTGTACATCGGGCTGAGAACTTTTGGGGGCAACCTGTACATCGGACTGAGAACCTTTGAGGGGCAAACTGTACATCGGGCTGAGAACTTTTGATAGCAACCTTTACATCGGGCTGAGAACTTTTGGTGGCAACCTGTACATCGGGCTGAGAACCTTTGGTGTCAACCTGTACATCGGGCTGAGAACTTTTGGTGGTAACGTGTGCATCGGGCTGAGAACCTTTGGTGGCAACTTGTACATGGAGCTGAGAACGTTACTCTAACTTTACCGACGTGATGACTCTAACTTTACCGACGTGATGACTCCAACTTTACCAACGTGATGACTCTCTAACTTTACCGACGTGATGACTCTCTTTCAAAGACCATCCTGGAAATTTGTTATCTGCCATTGAACTTTTGGCGGCATATTTCAGTGTTGAAAGAACCAACTGGACGACCTGGTGGTAGTGGAACAGC